CATGGGAGCATGAAATCTTATATATTTCCATCTTTTTACATGTGCAAGTACGCCACCCCAGATGGACGGTTTGTTTTCTCCCACCCTTTCTCAACGTTCGGCCACCACATCCCGTTTCCACTTGGTATATCCCTCGACCTATATCAAATGGAGTAACAGTGTGATGTTTGGCCTTCTCTCTATTATTTTCAATCAAATCCATAATGTGTAGGGAGTAGTTGTAACACCCTCAAATTTTCCTCCCAAAATAATACTTGAAATAGATAATAAACTTACTTTATTCGTTCAAACTAAAGTAAAAAGTTTGGCAGCACAAATAACATCTACAGGGAAATGGGTGTTACCGCCACATCCGGTCATCTCTTAACTGAATGCATAGGCAATCCCGAAATAAAACAAAGTAAAACAAATATTCGACATAACTAAAATGTTTATTCTTGTCTAAGTTTTACTAAGACATCTATTAACTGCTCTCGAGCGCATGCAATCATCAATCAACATGGTCATCATTACCTGCACAAATAAAGTGCAGAAAACAAAACAAAGAAAATGAAACAAAAATTAGCTTTAGAGCTAAGTAAGTACCACTCAACCCTGTAGAATCAGGTTTGGCATAAAATAGTTTTTCATATAATACTATAAAAATAACACGCTCCACCCAAATTCTTTTCTCTTTGATTTTTTCTCAAAATCACTTCTTTACTAAAGTCCTCAACTTTTCTTCGAAAATACTATAGCAACTCTTCTCTTAGAATTTCTCAAAATTCACTTCTTCTCTATCTTCCTAGTAATTTAGAAGGGCGTTGCTCAACACTATGGTTGAGCCCGGTGGTTACATTATTATGTACGGCCACCCCGGGACTTTTGCCGGTACCACAACTGCTAATGGAAACGAAACGACTACCTTAAGTGTGCACACCCCCTAAAAGGGATTCCAAGCTCTTCGAGTAGTAAGTTGTAACGAGTAGTCGAGGCTCAGTCTACCAACTACTCCACCTTTAAAATTCTTGAATGATTAGGGATTACTACTGCTACAACTTCTTCTTAAAAGGGATCATAGATCCAAATGTCACTTCAAACTCAAATTGTACTTCTTAGTAGTAGCAGCCCTAATCACCCTCCACATTTATCCGGATGTGGAAAACCGACACCATGGATTTCTCCCGGGTGCTCACCTCTTATGAAAACGTAAATTTTATCTTGACTTTAGATATACTTCTAAAAATATTTCTCAATCCCTCTAAATAGTCTCAAAAGTATTTAAAAATATTTAATAACCAAAAGTACTTAGTTTGCACTTCTCAAATACCATAGATCTAATATCTCCTCAAAATCACATACACATAATTCAAAATTCACACTTAATCACATAATGCATAATAAGCATATAATACGAGGAAACAATTTTGGATTCGCAGAGAAACAAACCTTAAATTGCGATAATCCCCTTAATAAAATCTCTAACTTGGTCTCCACTCGAATTCTCCTTCTAATATATGTCAAAATTCTAAATCAATAACTATTCAATTGTTTTTGTTATTTCCTATCTATCCCACCTTTAATTATTTTAATTTTATAATTCCTTCTTTAAATATAACTATTAGGTTAGATTCATAAACCTTATTTAAAATGTTAATTTTCAGTCCAACCTTATTATTTTCTGTGATCATACTAATCCCCTCCATAATTTACTTTAATTTATTTAATTGATTAGTTAACTAGTCTAATTAACTCAATTACATAATAATTTTATTATTTCAAATTAAATAATTAATTTCAGTCCGAAATTCAGTTTACATAACTTATATAGTTTATTTAATAAATCTTTTAATAATAATTTAGCGTAAGCAATAATTCGAAATAATAATCATTAATGATAATCTAATCTCAATAACAACTTTAATTAACACAATAGTTTATTTATACTAACTAACCTAATTACATTAACTAATCCCACCCTCCAGATTTATTTATTTGATTAACTAATTTAATTGAACTAGCTTCATCAACTAAATAAGTTTAATTATATCAATATAGCGAAATATATTAATTCAATTCAATTAAGGCCAATAACCAAATTCTAATTTCGTTATAATTTTCTATTTTTACTATAAAGTCCAACAATATTACCAAGTCCATAATTTAACTAATTTATATATTAAACTAATTGATTTAGTAAAACTAGTCCAATAAAGTCAATTAACTAAATTATTAAGTACCCATTACTTAATTAATTTATTTATATTAATCGACTAATTTTTATAAGTTCAAATAGTTTAACAACTTATATGAAATTTGAATCAATAATAATCAAGCATAATAATTATTAATTTAATCAAACTAATTTAATTAGTCCACTAATTCAATAATTTATTTATTAAGTCCAGATATAATCATTCATTTATGCTAGCTAACCCAACTTTATTTCTTTTCCTTATTTTATTACAAACATTATTTTTAGTCCAGAATATTATTTTCAATCTCAGTGATTTATTTATTTCATCATTAATATCAAAATTTCCTTATCTAATTACTTAACTAGTTTTATACAGCCCAATTAAATTAAATAGCTTAATAATCAACTTTTTAAATTAATAACCGTCCATAACCATATTTTGGGTCTATATTTGACTTAGGTTGTCCATATATTTATTTTAGAATTATTTCCCTTATTTATTCATTTAACTTCATATATCTATTAACTGCTTTAATTACAATTAAATATACTAATCATAAATTTTATTAATTATAAATGGTTCCAAATGTCCTAGTTATTCATATATTTAATCTAATTTACTCCAATATTTATTACATAATTATTTTCGTTATTTAGTTAATATTTTGCTAAATGTGTACAACTTGACCCAATTACAATTAAATCAATTAAAAATTGCTAAAAATATTATCTTTCAATTCTGGTTGGTCCAAATATGTATATTTATACTAGGTATTTAATTTATATTTTCCAGATTTTATTTATTTGATTTACTGTTTTATTTTTAATTTTTATTGAAACTGGACCGAACTAGCCAAAATTCACGATCCGGCCCAAGAAGCTTGGGTTGTCTTCTTCCCAGTTCTTCTCCAGGTCGCGATTCCAGCGGCCGGAATTACGTAAACATCATAACTTTACTTACAGGTAACAGATCTAAACGATTCAAGTTGCAAAATGATCCTGACGTCGAGAAGAAGCTCTGCCACTCCTATCTACGGCCAAATCCTGTCTTTTCTGAAGACCCGTTTCCTAGGCTTGCAACTCCGGCGACGTCGTCTAAGAAACTTTGGTGACAACGAATCGGTCTGGAATTTATTGGGAAGTATTCTTGGACCTCTCACGACCCTCCTATATCGTTTTTACGAAGATTTACACGTAAAATAATATATATAGAAATTTTCCGGCGACATTATGTGTGTGTGTGTATGTATATATATATATATATATATATATATATATATATATATATATATATATATATATATATATATATATATATATATATGTACGTATATATATATATATATGTACGTATATATATATATATATATGTACGTATATATATATATATACGTATATATATATATATATATATGTACGTATATATATGTATATATATATGTATGTATGTATATATATACATATATATGTATGTATATATATGTATGTATATATATATATATATGTATGTATATATATGTATGTATATATATATATATATGTATGTATGTATATATATGTATGTATGTATATGTATGTATGTATGTATATATATGTATGTATACATATATATATATATATATATATATATATATATATATATATATATATATATATATATATATATATATATATATATATATATATATATATATATATATATATAGGGAAGAGTTCAAATGAAAAGTGGTCTTCCCGTGCAAAGTGCAAAGTTTTCACTTTTTCATGTTACGCTTGCACTTTTTGTTGTTTGCATTGCACTTTTTGGCTATTTTGATTTTGGCCAAATTCGGCCAAAATGACGGTGGCATTTTTGTAAATAAACCAATTTTTTTGAGCTATCGCGAAAAAGTGAAACGAAAGCAAGAAAAAGTGCAAGCGAAACATGAAAAAGTGTAAACTTTTCACTTTGCACGTTAAGACCTCTTTTTATTTGAATCATCCCCTATATATATATATGTATGTATATATATATGTATGTATATATATATATGTATCTATGTATATATATATATATGTATGTATGTATGTATATATGTATATATGTATGTATCTATGTGTGTGTGTGTATATATATATATATATATAGCTTCTATCTCTCCGATTTGAAGTGTTTGGGATGGCTAAGGGGGTGTATTTATTGGTCTAGATGGATCCTTCTGGATTTTAAATGAATTATTATGTTTTATTTTATTTATTTGATAGTTATATGAATAATAATAATAATAATAATAATAATAAAATAATAATAATGTCTATACATAATAATAGGTTGGTAGTTGATGAACATGGCATGTGTATTGGTTCCTGGTTTGATTCCTCTTGATATTTATGTTTCATTTTATTTTTATTTTATTTACTTAAATGTATTTTTAGTTTTACATATAAATATATATATGTATATATGTACATAATGTATATACATGATTTGGTAGGTGATCTTAGCATGTGAGATTGTTTTATGATCTGATATTTTCATTTATCATTTTGATACTTTTATTAGTAATTTATAATATTCTTACTATTATTTTTATTTATTTATTTATTTATTTATTTATTCTGTCACCTATATTTTATCTGATTTATTTCCATTTTATTTTTATTTTATTTTATTGATGCCATATAAGTGTTTAATTATATTGCATGAAGTGTGCGTATATTTTTATACACCAAGTATAATACAAAATATTTTGATATTACTTTTATTTGATTTATCAAATATAACTTATCCGATTTATTTATTTATTTATTTTTATTTCAAATTTTCAAGGTATCACAGTAATCGTGGCCATCTGTCACTCTTCTTTTAATTTACTGCTTTCATGCATATTAACAAGATAAACATTAACGCGGTAAAAGGAAACTTGGACCAAAGCGGTAATGGGCAAATATCTGGCATTCTTCATCACGTTGTTGAAACCTCAGCCATATTAAAAGTGATGGTACCGTATTTGTAACCGCCATCGTGGTGTAATGACCATATTTCTAAGGGAATGTTCCCTAGAAATTGTCATGTTGCCACCTGCATTTCCCCTATCTTCTTGAACCCACCGTCAAACTTCTTTTTTTGATGTTGCCTTGTGATCCATACAAACAGATTTTTTAGGTGAGTGTCTTTGAAATGAGTGTGCACATTTGATGCAAGATGACGGATACATAGCCAATGGTGTGCATAAGGCTCCTCCCAAGTATTGCCCACCTCATTCATTGTCTTGACTATAACTGCATGTCGATCAGAAATGACACACAAACTCCCTATCAGTCACAAACTCCCTAATGCATGCCATAACCCATGGCCAACTCTCCCCATTCTCAGATTCAACAACTGCAAAGGCCAGAGGAAATAATTGGTTGTTCGCATCACTACCCATTTTTTTGGATGAAAGGTAATTTTATTAGACACCTAAAAATAACATAAACAATGTATCAAAACTATCTAGCTAGCTAATCTAACTAAAATAGTATCTACCATTCAAACCCGTCCACCCCCTTGCGGGAGGTAGGCGGGAGAGAGAATTTTTTTCAGTCCAAAACGGCACGGGACAGGCCCCGACTCGTATCAAAAACATCAATGAAAAGCTGCCCTCCGTCCTCAAAACCCATGGAATCCGAAGCAATGAAGCCCCATCCTCCAATTTAGCTTTGCTCCAGCGGGCCAGTAACTGCCCAGCACTCCAGCAATGTCACAGAAGTCACAAAACCAAAAAAAAAAAAGAAATCGGCCCATGAAGATCCAGTCTAAGAACCCGAAGGCTCGTCAAAACCAGCAGCACCCAGCAGTCAAACAAAACAGCAAAGCCCAGCATTATCTGCAGATTCCTGTGTCCAAATCAGTAACCCAATGGGGGAGGCCCAGTATTGTCCGCAGTAGCCCAGGCCCAAATCCATCCCATGTCCACAACAACCTCCAGCAGGGCCAGGGTTGGCGAAGTTCCGGGTCAGTCCAGACCCGGCCATCGCTACGGAGGGGCGCCGCCAAGCTGAGCTGCAGACCAACACCCTTGACCCACCAGACCCCCACCCCTAACCCAACCACCCCACCTGAGTTTCGGCGCCTCTCAGGTAGTCCGACAGTCGGAGAGGAGGGGAAAGAAACAGTCAGAGAGGAAAGAAACATGCCAATCGTCGAACCACCCACCACCTTCTACCCCCGTCGAGCCCCGGCATCCCCCGACAGCGTCGGAAAATGGTTTAGAGTGGCGATTGACAGTAACCGGAAACGATAAAAGCCAAACCTTACATCCTTCCACACTCTCCACCCACGCAGAGCTCCGGTGACACCGGCATAAAACTAAAGAAGGAGGTTCAACAGTAGCTGGAAAAAACCCCAAGCCATTCAAGGTCCACCAAGTCCACCCCGGAGAGTTTTCCGATCATCCTCTCCGGCAACATCAAAGAAAAACATAAAACCATACCCGAATGCAAGCACACCGAACCAAGTCCCTGTCGCCAGAAATCCAAGTAATCAACCCCCAAGCAACGATGATGATACCCATGGTACATATATGGTCCAAAACCAGAAAGAAAGCCACCGGAGTGGACATTTTCCTCCGGCCGCGAACGAAGACTCACCAGTGGTTTCCATCTCCAAAAACCATGCCCTGACCAGACATAGTCTTCGTAACGCGACAGGGCTGCGATGGTAGCAGCGTTCCAAACCTGCACCTGGTATACCCACCCGTGTGCCGCCATAGTAAAAAACTACCACCCGTGTAAAAAGCGAAACTAACCGGAGTATTAGCAGCAAGAAAACGTCGGTGAGACCTTCATCCCTTTGAAATCCCGATGCGTCGTGTACTGGCGTCCCCATCCACCAGTCCCCCGAGCACTCTGGCCATTCGCATCACTACCCTTGTACTTCCCATACAAGTGTGTGATGTCAATAGTAAGTACGGGTCGACAATGCTTAAAACCATGTATTGAAGGCTTGAATGCCCAAAATAGTCTCTAAAACTTCATACAACCTGTGAAACTACTAGGGAGCGGGTACCAATGAACAACAGTTCCAAGATTGGAATCTTGGAGCGCTGTCATGAAATGGGGCAATTCAGAATACGACTTCTCCCAACCACCAAATATTTCTGTAATTGCCTTTTGCTTGCCCATCCATGTTGTCGTGTATGATACCGTATACCCATACTTTTCCTTCAACATCTCAATGATAGTATGCACTTTAAGGGAGGGATCAGTGTGAAGAATGTCAATCACATCTTTAGCAATGAAATCTGAAGTCATCACCACGTGATCAGTATTGTCGGTGGTGTCAACACAAGTAGCAGAATGAGGCCCAGGATAACGCACAACTGTGAAGTTGTCGAGGTTGCCTTTGTTCTTTGTGGCGCGTATTCTCCAGAGGCAATCGCGTTCTTTCTTCCTCTTGCATTCTGCCACCCATTTGTGTTTATCAGACTCCAGCACCCGATAAAATTGGTTCCATTTGATAGAATACAAGCTCACCATATTGATGACTTGTTCTTTGTTGTCAAACTGTTGACCAACCTCAAACTCACCTTCGGGTGTAAAGCTTTTCATACCTGCTCCACTCATCCGCATCAGTAAAGTCTTCAGGGAGATCATATATTCTAGTTAAGTGGCTAGATGGGGCGGTTGTCGTGATAGTATCACCATCATCTTCATCAGATTCTGTCGTGTCATCACCATTGATGTTCTCGTCAGCATCATCATCACTGGCCTGCCCATCCACAAATGAAGCACCATTGTGCAAATACATACCCTCTTCCTCTATAACCATGTCCAGTATAGTAGCATTTGAGGAGTTCCCTACATTGACACATGCATTCACACCATGCCTAGATACAACAACATTTGATGTTGACGAAGCTGTAGAAAAGTCACCTATGGATTCCTCAATGTAAATCTCCAGCGAGGACATACTCTCCATCTGAATTAGTGACCACATATTTGTGACAGCTAGCTCATCAACAAGTGGCATAAGCATGAAATTTCCCCCATTAGGGGGAAATTACATTTTCAATCGCAAAGAACGACTCGGAGGAATCATCGTAGCAACATGTATTTTTTGAAGCATCTCGAGCAAACATGCGCCCCGAGAAACAATGACAAAGCTGCTTCTACTACCTTCATGGCGTATTTGGCCATCATCCTCGTAATAGTTCCCTCCCAACGACACACGATTGGTAAGTTGGAGAAATCCATATTCAAATAACAATACATGACGGAAATGGATGAATACACATTAATATACACACTTTACAAGATTAAATTCAACATTTCATACATATTCACATTTCACAATAAAGCAATTCACAAATAAATTCCTACTTTACAAATTCGAAAATTATGAATTGAAACCTTAGGTTGAAAATGAGATGAAATTGAGGATTTGATGTACCTAGAGGTTGAAGAAGATGATTGGGGAGTGTATTTGGTTGGTGAAGGCCTCGTAGTAGTTGTAGTCGTCGGAAACCGTTGTTGCAGTTGCTCTTCACCGGACCAATTTTTCTTGCTGTCATCGTTCTATCTAGTTTTGCAAGGTCTGGCCGCAGTTTATTAAAGAGGAAAGTCGACAAACGGTTTGACGACTTACCCCGACCATGATTAAACCCAGCAATAGATCGGTAAATACTTTTAACCCAACATTATTTTCGTAATTAATTAATTAATTAGCGTTAATGTGGAAAAAATCTTGTTTTTTTGCAAAGTAGGGTATGTCGTATGTGTGCTTCTATTTATTTCTTTATTTTCTCTACAAGTCTCTATTATATAATTTTTTAATTTTCTTATATTCCATTGTTTAATTATTAAAACTATTTAACTATTTGCATTAATGATTTAACTTTATCTTCATTCTATCTAAATCCACAAATTATAATTTAGGATGTTTTTACTTGGACTATAATTTGATGGTCTCGTCTGGTCTAATCTGAAATGGTTTGGTCTGGTTTCTTTGTATTTTTATAACTATCCAATTCTGGTCTGGTCTGAACTGGTCTGGTCTGATCTGATCTGGTCTGATCTGGTCTGGTCTGGGGGGAATTACAGTCCAAATAAAAACATCCTTAAAGGGGTGTATTGTATAAGGAATTAGTGACAAAATTTTAAAAGTTTAGGTGTATTCTATGTAGACTTTTAAAAGTCCACAAAGTCTAGATGTATTCAATATAGATTTTTAAAAGTCTATTAAAGTCTATGCATATTCAAACTTCCGTTCATTCTTATTGACTTCTAAAATTATGGATTCTCGTGGACTTTTAACTCATTCTTAGTACATTAATTCACAAAAAATGTTTTTTCTCCTCACCAGGGGCGGAGACAAGGGAGGGTCAATCTTGGTCCTGACCCAACCCAAATTTAAAAAATGTCTTATTTTTTAGTGTAAAAAATTTCGGGCAAAACATTTTCCCAAAAACTTCTTTGTATCGACCCAGTCAGGTCTAGTGTCCTAGCTCCGCCTCTGCTCCTCACCAAAGATTTCCGTGGACTTTTCTATTGTCTTTTACTCATCATGAGCACGCATAGACCTGGTTGTAAATTTGACTAATTATTTACCCGGGATCACAAACTGGTCAATAAGTCCTGGACTAATATCGGCGAGGTCGAGAGATGGGCACCACGATGGGCGGTGTCAATATGCAAGATTTGAACATTACATTATGTTTTTTATAATTTTACGATAAATAAAGTTGAACGAGGAGATTATACATTAAACTTAAAAAAAATAAAAGGTGATATTCTATATGTCGTCCTACGAAGGACTGAGGGGCTCCTCTCGGCACCTACAGGATATCAGCAATCAGCCTTCGGTTAAACCAGGAAGAAGACCCTCAACTCACGGACACCCCTCGGCATCAACACTGTCCTTCGTCACGGACCAAGGTTTCATCTTTTCGATTCATCATTGGGGGAATTCGGTGCACTCTTTTTCCCTCATTAGGATTTTTTCCCACATGGTTTTTCCTAACGAGGTTTTTTAACGAGGCATCCCCCAAAATAAAATAAAAAACGTCAGCCTTCGGCCCTGAGATAGAAACATGCACTACCCTACTCCTTTTCACCACATTACACGTGCCTCAAAAAGTGGGGGACTGGAGGACCCCTTCAGGAAACTCACGAAAATACAAAATGTCAAAATTTTCCTTCGACCCCAAAGAGTAGGGGACTGAGAGACTGCCCTCAGCAAACACGCAAGCGCAAAACCCCTCACCACTTTTACAAACGACAACAAAGCAGCATCAGAGGACAAACGCAATTACTTCTTTTCCCTCAAGTACCTTTCGGCAAAAGGGGTGAGGGACTCCTGATGGAGTATATGGCCCAGAGACCCCCGGCCCACATACTTCCACTATTACAACCAGGCCCAACAGGCCCAAGCGGGCCAAGCCCAGTAGGATGGAGCTCTAAGCAGCCCACGATGTATGAAGGGGTGCCTTCGGCCCCATGGCCGAAGGCTACCAATGACAAAATTGGGTTCGGCAACTTCACGGGAGGATAAGGCTTGAAAACCAAGCCTTCGGCAATTGGAGCCCTCGGCACTATGAGACCCCCGGTACGCAGGGCCTTCAGACTGTCATCTGCAGCCGATGGCATCCTCCTCGACAGAATCTCCCGTCCACATGTGCTGGATCACCGTACCAAGTACAAACGTAACGTCGCATCCAACCACCGCATTTAATGCGGCCACATGCGAGTGCCAGCGCCACCCCGGTTGAGGTGACCCCTCGACCACCAGATTGCTGACACGTGTCCCCATCTAGCGTTTATTGCTACTATAAATAGCACCCCTTTCCCCCATTGTAAACCACGCTCAATACAACTCAAATACACATTTGAACTCTTTATCTCTCTTATCTACTTGCTCTGACTTCTCTCTAAGTTACTCCCCATAGTAACCCCTCGGATAGATACCCCCGGGTACACTGTCCATCAATACTGTATCGATTCGGTTCTAGAAGTTTTTAGAACTGCTATAAGAATCAATAACATTATATCAGTGCAATTCTGGTACATCATCGGTTAAGCATTAATAAAAAAATAAGAATATTACTGTGTTTCATCGTTTTTTTAAAGGAACAAACTTTTATAAATCATATCAAATCATTTGTCAACTGGCTTACAATACAATGGGACATCAAAGAAAATTATAAACTCTCCTCTGGTCCTGAACCGACCACTTTAGCTAACAAATGAGCAACTCGATTCCCAGTGTACAAATTTTAACATACAGATTTCTGTGTTGTGATGAAAGCAATCTAACATCATCAAGAATCAACTCAAGGTATGACGTGTTTCATCGTTAAATTGCTTACATATAAAAATATAATTTCAAATTAATAAATATATAACCGTAAATAAGTATACAAAATTTAACAAGCTGAAAATGAAAAGAAAACAAGTATTAAGAAGAAAAACTTGATTACACATATGCTTGTACCACATGTATTAATGAGTCTAAGACTCGTATAACGATTAGTGTTCTTACTCATTGGATTGTGTAATATAACAATTGATCATAACGAGCGAGATTGAGATTGTTGAGCATTCTCGGAACTTTGAGATTTCTTTTCAATAAAAATAAATTTGGATTTCTATGCTTTATTTATTCTTGTAGAACTCTATGTTGCTAGATGAATTACATCTATTTCATTTATTTATTTAATTGTTTCTTGTCATGTTTTAGGGAGGAAATTACGCACGTTAGGACTAAAACATAGCATTTTTTCAAAGTATGATCATATGTTTGATTTTCCTTAAATAAGACCGAATATTACTCCATACATTTCTATTTCTAATTAAATTAACTAATATAATCAATTGCTCCTACTTCCCTTGCATAACTCCGGTTGCGGGTCAATCCATGAATTTTGTAATTAACCAAAATCATTTTGTTGGTGGTGGGTCAATCCAATGCGACGGCGGCAAACTTCGGTGACGGATGCGGACAGGGAGATCGGTAGCGCCAATCTAGGTAAAAATTCCAAAGACCAGCAGTGGCGGTACGGATTTAAAAGTCTATGGATTTTTTGAAAGTCTATAAACTTATTCATGGATTTAAAAGTCAATAGAATTCGTTTATAAATATGTCTATGGATTTACAAGTCTATTGACTTTTTTAAAAATTCAGTGATAAAAAAAAGTCCACCACAATCCATATCCAATACACCCTCTAGTACATGACAAGTGAAGTAACATCTTTAAGTTGAGCTATGCCATGCGATTGCGTGGTTGGTTTCATGGTTTACTTTAGGAGTATTACAAATTGCATAATGTTTTTGCATCTTGACCCTTACCTCAAGTTATTTAATGGAACATGTCTTAGGGCTAAAAAGAAAAACAGGTCGTCAAATAGGCCTTCAAAATTTTGATAGTTCTACAATCACACCCCTGAATTGTAAGACCTTGCAAGTACAATGATCGATCCATTAAAATAAAGCAATCACATATTTTTTACTTACCATGAAGAGAGTAGTATATTGCAAATACCAATAGTAAACATATACAATTAATAGCTTCTATCAATAGTTCAATCAATAACATATTATCACCTGAGAAACAAATGTGAACAAGATTTATTTAAGAATGGTAAATGCATTATATGTTTCCGAGAGATTATTTCCTTTCATTTTAATGGAATAGACTATGTGGATGTTAGAAATTGATTCTCCTTTTGTTTTTCAAATACAAGTAGATTCAAAATCAATTTGTCAGAAGTTGGTCCCCTAAATTTTTAAAAATTTACTTCCATGAATAACTTATAGCAATTAGAAGCATTTTTACACTCTCATCCAAACACCTTAATGATTTCAACGAATATGTAACATGTCCGCTAATAAGCATGCTATTATTCTATGCGAAGCAACTCATTGATTCTACCTATTAATTTTTTGGGATATTTTGACTACGCACCCCAATTTTTGGATGACATTGGACTATGCACCCCATTTTTAAAACCTTTAGACTTTGCACCCTATTTCCCCTAAAATGTCTTTGTCTCTGCACCCCATTCATTTTTTTTCTTCACAAAATGTTGTAGATAGAATGCAAAGTCTAAAAGTTTTGAAAATGGGGTGCAAAGTCCAATATCAACCAAAAGTGGGGTGAAAACTCAAAATTCCCCTATTTTTTCAATATATGATAATTCTCTTGTATTAATTTAATGTAATCATACAACATATATGTTTAACACTCCAATGTCCCTTGAATTTTAATCAAGTTTGACCTGTACATGAGTTAATTAATAAAGTTAAAGTTGTGCAGTTGATATTTGTGCAGAGAAGAGATGGTAAGAGATAATTAACTGAACAACAATTTTTTTAACTTAAAAGGAAAAACAACAAAATTAGCGGAACAATAAAAAAAGATAATTGACAAAGTTTTAAGGGACAAAGAGAGTACGTTAATCATTTCACCGTATTAAAAATTATTGCGACGTCTACTTTTTTATATAGTTTTTCCAAACAACTATTCATCTCTGTTTAAAGCAATAATTACGTGTTCAAGTTTATTTCACCATCTTACACATATATGAACTATATATATAGCTTTTACTTATTTATTTAAAGTGCAAGTAACTTTTGAACAAGTTATAAAAACACCATGGATTTATTTTATTTACACATATGATTTACATACACCTATTTACAGTTGTTTATTCCTACTTTGATTTGAGTTTTTTAACGTATTTTTTTGTGTAACATTTACTACCCCGTATAATACTACTCCGTACTAGTTTAAGGGGGTGATTGGAACTGATTCTGATTCTACGTCTTTTTTAAAGCAGAAGCAGAATCAGTTTTCAGAAGCTGGTCACCCCCAGCTTCTAAAAAAACTGATTCTAGGAGTAAATTAGAGCACCAGAATCACTTCTGCACTTTTACCCAAACACTCCAACTTCTGCTTCTGCTCCCCGAAGGAAATGAACTTTTATCACTTTTCAAATGATAGACGTATTTTTCAGGCATACCTCTGTCATACACATTTTTTATACAGACATAACTTGTGAAGGATGTGTTGTACAACGAAACACTTGTAAAAAACTTCACGAAGAATGCTCAACAGCGAAGAAATTTCACAAATCATTGATTGATTGATTGATGCATTATAGCAAAAACCAGGAAGCTGATTCTTCAAGCAACCGACAGAAGAGTAGAAGAATGCAGATCAAATGAACGGAACAGTACCCACCTGAAGAGATCCGATCGATGTCGGGTGGAGGTGCTGCACCCGCCACCCCTGCCGTTCCTCCCCCAACACTGGGCGGTCATTCTCGGTGCGGGTGGGTTCTGGGCCCATCGCTGGACAAGATCATCAAGAACGTCGCGTGGAGGAAGCACTCTCAGCTGGTCGCTGCCTGCAAGTCCGCTCTCGACAAGCTCGATTCTCTAGTCGATGACCCCATCGATCCCGCTTCATGCTCCCCTCTCTATGGCCTCTCTTCACCTGACGCTGAATTCGTCTTGCAGCCCATCATCCTCGCCCTCGACTCTGCTTCCCCAAAGGTGGTGGAGCCAGCTCTCGACTGCGCATTCAGATTGTTTTCTTTCGGCATCATCCGGGGCGAGATCGAGGTTGGAACCTCCCCTCCCATCATATTTCGCTTGATTGATTCCGTCTGCAAGTGTGGCGCTCTCGATGAAGAGGCTATCGAGCTCGGCCTTCTTCGCGTCCTCCTCTCGGCTGTCCGGTCCCCCTACGTCATTCTCAGGGGAGATTGCCTTGTGCACATTGTCAGGTCTTGTTATAATGTGTATCTAGGTGGCTTGAACGGCACCAATCAGATCTGCGCTAAGTCCGTTCTAGCTCAAATGATGGTCCTTGTTTTCACTAGGGTCGAGGAGGACTCTATGAACATCAACTTCAAGACTGTTTCTGTAGCTGATCTCTTGGAGTTCACCGATAGAAGTTTGAATGAGGGCAGTTCCATTCAATTTGCTCAAGATTTTATCAATGAGATTGTGGACACCAAAGCTAAGGAAGTGCTTCCTGATTCCAAACTGTCCTTGCTATTGGAGAATGGAAACATTCAAAGGGGAAGTGAGATGGTTGATGAGGAATCAAGGGAAGGGGTGGAGATGGACATCTATAGCAAGATCCGAGAGGATGGCTTTATGCTTTTCAAGAATCTATGCAAATTGTCCATGAAATTTTCCTCACCAGAGCACACTGATGATCAAATCCTGTTAAGAGGGAAAATACTTTCATTAGAGCTCCTCAAGGTTGTCATGGATAATGCAGGCCCAGCCTGGCTCTCCAGCGAGAGGCTAGTATTGAATTAATAACTGTTTTTTTAAACAATAACTGTTTTGCTATGTCCTTGCAAAGTGCACTACATCCTCATTCATCTGTTACATGTTTGGACCATCATTTTTGAATGATGGAATCTTCTTAATTCTAGAATTCTAGAGTTCTAGAACTATACTTAATAGGCAATTGAACAGCCTCTTCAGCTAAATGCAGATTTGGTTTCATATCCAGCAAATGCATTCTTATTGTGTCACAGAAATCAAGTAAATATGGTTCGCATTATGTATCAGGGATATACACATAGTTCTATTCATTGTGATACAAAGACCTGAGGTTGACCATTGACAACATGCTGGAAGGGTATGGGGAAAAATGGGATTTGAATTAATTGAGAAAAATATGATCCCTTCATGCCCAGTATACATTCTTGAAATTTTGTAGAAACATGAAACTAGTGTAGAAAGGTTACGACGTAGCAATTAGGGTGTTACATTTAGTACCATTCTTTGGTCAAACTACATATTCTTCATTTATTCATTAACAAGTTTTTAAAATTATGTTGTCATGTCACCTCTATTTAAATATTACATACTATTCGCTGCATCTAAGAAGTACCGAAGTTCTGTGGAGCTCATGTTTCACCAATTGGAAAACTGGGTAACATGTTGGGATTTCATAAACTTTGAATATCCGATTCTGCACAGTTTTTATAATAAAGTGAGAAACCCTTCTCCCTTATTGATTAGCGTTTGAGAAACGTTGGGTCTTCATTTTCCCCATTTTGATAGAGATTCGTAGTAGATGTTAGTCATCTTTGTTGGACCTACTAATGGATTTTTTATAGGATTTTTTCATAGCAACATAGTCTCGGGAAATGTATTGCATTTTACACTTAAAATGCATTACATTTTAAATTGGGCTATGTACTGATTGAGGAGTATATTTGAACACGTAGAGTATTTTTATCTTGGGTTATGTAGCAAAGTTTATTTGAAAAAAGATGTGTACTGTGTACATATATTCAAGCAAATATTCACAAATAAATTCCTATATTTTTATATGTACCCCTTTTCACACATTCCTTATCCTATGTATTTTTTTAAAATACTGTTTCCAGGTTCCCCCTTCATGCTACATTGACTAATGTGAAAGTAAATATACTACGTATTATAAAAATCAAATCAAGCCTTGTTATATGAACCAGACAATCACTTGGGACGGATGGAGTATCTGAAATCCAATCCATCTCTGGGAGTTACGAGTTATTGTTCTCATACATTATGTCCCTTTTCATCTTTTAATCTGTAGACTAATCTTGCCACGAATTCAAAAAGTATACTTAGCCGAAGACAAATATTTCTGTATGATGTGACATGTTTTCCGACATTTCCCTTTACACAGGTTTCTAAATGCTATCAAACAGTTTCTTTGCTTATCATTGTTGAAGAACAGCGCACTGTCTGTCATGACCATTTTTCAACTTCTTTGCTCAATATTCGAGAATCTATTATCAAAATATAGGTCTGGGCTGAAATCAGAAATTGGAATCTTCTTTCCTATGCTGATCCTACGTGTGCTAGAGAATGTGCTTCAGCCTAGTTTCTTACAGAAGATGACTGTTCTGTGCCTACTAGATAAGGTTTCCCAAGATCCTCAGGTTATAATTGATATTTTTGTCAACTATGACTGTGATGTTGATGCTCCAAACATATTTGAAAGGTAACACCATGACCATTATGCTTACTTTTCTAATGTTATTTTTTTCATCTAGACATTGTGAACCAGTGTTTCAAATAGTTATTGTACTATCCTTTTCTTAGTTCTAATACAACGACATCCAAGCTTTAATCCCAAAAGATTTTGGGGTCGGCTAACATGAATGATGAATCGATCCATGATATCAGAGCAAAAAAGAGAAGACAAGAAAAATAAAAAGATACATTTCTTAGTTCTAATGATTAATTATTATCCAAGGTTCTTACATCCTAGTTGCATCCCCTCTTTGAGTTGTCCTGAGTCTCAACTGTTGGGATCTGGATGGACCCTCCACCCAGACCCTCTAACTCTAGTTAAGCACTAGATCCTTATAGGGGTTGTTGTTAAAGTGGTACATTTAATTGGCTAGGAATGGGATTTCAAGTTCCAATCCCATCAAATTTCTTTCTTGGCTGCATTTTAACATCTTGTGATGGATCTTGTGGTGGGACCCTACCTGATCTCAACATCTTGTGAGTACGACTGTATAATCCCAAACAGGTGATTGAAAAGTGATAAGTGAATAAAATCAACTGATTGGGACAGTGAATTAAATCACCGATACTGCCATTTTTGAACCAAATTGCCCGAGTTGCTACAAATCTACAATTAATGATACACAACTATAAAAATGTTATCTAGTTGTGTTCGTTTTATCTGTCTCAAAATCCATTACACGTGTAGTTACAATGATATGGTGAAATGAGTGGAATATTAATATTATTGGCGAGTAAAAAATTGTTGTGATGTTATTTATCAACCAAAAAAGTGACATTATTTATATAGTTTTTTCAAAATGTTTACCGCAAGGCATATTAGAAAAACATTTCCACTTGTTTAATACTCAAGCTGAAAAGGCAGTTGATTAATAATTTGTAATGAGGTGGGGGTAATTTCATTAGAAACAAGATGTTACTTTCATCTCGTTTTTTTAATCTCCCTCATGCTTTTCCTCTCTTGGATGTCACATTTTACTTTTTATCTTATTTAATGAGAAAGCGACTACTACCACAGGCTGGTGGAGTGCATGATGCAATGGTGTAGACCGCTACCTCCACCAGTCACCACAAGGCAGCATTAGTACCAAAGTGGAAGAAAGGAAATAGAGAATATGGTTACATCAGGTGCTTCGGACAATATCACTATATATGGGGAAAACCATTCTATTGGTAGCGTGATATGACAGAGTTGCTAGGTTTTACAATGGCCACTAGTTACCGGAACGTGAATGCCTCTTCCATTTACTCAACTGTAATAGGAACTAGTTCTGATCATATGTGTGTGTATGTGTGTAGTTGCTGGGACATTTGGTTCTGGCTCCTATTGAACCAGGTGTTGTAGCTGTTCAGAACTGCAACCCAACGACAGTCGTGCCTCAGTGGGGCTAATAATGTAAATCTATATTTGCTTAACTATGCAGTCAGATTTTAGAAGCCATTTTTGTATATGCTCTGGGTTTCGGCTCTGAAATAATGTTATTTTTAAGAAGTTCCAATTGCCTAATTCACGAGATTTGATTTTTTGTCTCACCCTGGATTCTTCCCTCTGACCTGTCTCCGTTTTCTTGGTTGAAATCAATTTTGTACAAATAAAAGCACCTAATGTAACCATATTCTCTATTTCCTTTCCTCCACTTTGGTACTAATGCTGCCTTGTCGTGACTGGTGGAGGTGGCAGTCTCCACCATAGCACCATGCACTCCATGCACATGTTTAGCTAATGGCAACTAATGAGTAATGACCACTGTTCTAAAAATCGTTCTAAGCGCCCGATTAGTCCTCGTCTAGGCGCTACGCGGTGGCCGAGCGCCCCGATTTTTGTCTAGGCGCCCTGACTAATTGGTTTGGCACCTAGGTGAATTAGTCATCTGCCTAGGGCGCTTAGTTGCCCGCCCAGAGCGCTTAGTCATCCGACTAATTTTTTTACTTTTAATTTTTTTAAGTAAGAGATATATGTACAAGTAACTTTAACAACAAATATGAAGAAAGATTTTTTCCCCGTATTTTTAGGAGGGGTGAGCCAGGCCTTAGAAATAGTGCAACGCTCAGGCCACTCTTAGAAGCCCGGATAGCAAGCTGCCTTCATGAACATTCCTCTTTAAAAATTGAGTTAATATCGTGTGGACTAATAACCCACATATCAATTATTAAACTGATAAGAATAGATCCTACACTTGGTCATAGCCAAAAGGCCAAGAAAGGTATAATATGGAGAAAGATACTTGTACATTAAGAATAAAAATTATATATATATGTATGCATGCATATATATTTAATATTTATAACATGATATAATTAAGTGATTAGTTATCATATATTATTGCATGTGATAATTCTATCATTCATGCATGTTAATGTGTGTGTATATATTTTTCACACACACAAACACGATAATGCCGTTATACTATGTATTACTTATCATATTTGTGCAAAAGTATTTATAAAAATACAATTTATGTATCTCCGACTAGTCCCTGCCTAGGCGCCCGCCTAGCCGTCTAGGCGCTGGGCGCTGGGCGCTGGGCTTCCGCCCGACTAGCGCCTTTTAGAATATTGGTAATGACTGATGACTTTCATCCGTAAGCATTACGAGCGTAAAAGATAGTTTGTGACTCCACATTACCCAGACTTTTGCCAAACATGAGCTTATTCAGTAGTGCTTGCTGAATTGGTTGGTATTGAAAAAAGCAGCACACAAGGTACTTTTTTGGACAAAGTTGCTGGACTTATTCACCTTTGACTCTCAAATTTTAGTTACCGTTTTCAATTTATCAAGAAACATATTACATTCTTAAATACCTCTTTTATATCTTCTTTCTTAATTTGCATTAAATACTTCGTGTAAATAGTGTATACATGCATGCAGAACTGTCAACGGCCTTCTCAAAACTGCATTGGGTCCACCTCCTGGTTCGACTACCACTTTATCTCCAGCCCAAGATTTGACATTTCGGAGTGAATCAGTGAAATGCTTAGTCAGAATAATAAACTCTATGGGCACGTGGATGGACCACCAATTGAAATTAGGAGAGTCCAGTCCACTGAAGCTTTCTGGTAATGACAGCGCAGTTGAAAACATTACTGCACCCGGTGAAGAGGGAAGTATGGCTGACCATGATCTGCACTTAGAGGAGAGTTCTGAAATCTCTAATGCAATTACCTTGGAGCAGAGGCGAGCTTATAAACTGGAAATACAGGTCAATTGATAGTGGTGTTATATAGATTTGTAATGGATGGTTCATGGTTGTGTATCATTTTTATGTTTTCTTAAAAACTCCTAAACTTACTTTTATATGCTTTTTTGTTGAACGAGAATCCATAAATGTTGATGTTTTTGGTTTAATTTTTCATGCAACAGTTAGTATACACAAAGTAATTTTAAAGTGTGGGTCATGATGTTACCAGGTCAAATGAGTATCCACGGTGGTGCCAACAATGTATGGATTTATAAAAAAGTGGGTTGGGATGGCATGCGGTGAGGTAGTGTAGGTATAGTTTTTTTAAGGGTACGGATAGTGATAACAAAAATCAGGAAAATATTCCATGTTACATATCTTTTTTTTCTGAGCACGAGGAATTTATGAAATATGAAGTGTTCAAGTTTGCTAAAAGTTTCCTAATTTTTCATTGGAGAACTGCTCAAGTTTATTTCCATCATTTGCAATGGAGCCAAAGATTCATTATTTTTTGGCTTGAGATTATGATGGAATAAAGCAAAATGGCTCACTAAACCGTCCGCGCTTCTTTGTTATGGAGCAGCAGTTAGTCCATGCAATTTTCGAAGCGATTTCACTATGGGTCATCCAGAAACAGTCTCTATGTGCTTTAGTACAGGGGTAAGACTGTGTACATCCGACCCCCCTTATCCCACCGTAGGTGGGAGCCTTTGCGGCACTGGGGTAAATGAAAATGATGAAATGAAATGAGAACTGCTCAAGTTGCCTTTCAATATGATGCGTAGAAAAATGTTACATGATTAGAAAAATGTTACATTATTTTTCCTGATTAGATTGATGTACATAGTGAGTCGGATAGACTTAGTTAGTTGTAGATAAGCTCATAGTTATCTAGATCCTAATTTTTAGGATCTGTACTAGCTTGTAGTTATCTGTACAAACTGTATTTATACTCTGGCCGTATGGCTCATTCAATCAAGTTTAATTCCTAAAACTTACATGATATCAGAGCAGGCTGTTTAAACACCACAATGGTGGAAACCGAGCAATCTGACTCTTCTCCCCACTCACAAACCCATAACCCTAACTCCCCAAATAGCTCAATGACAAACTACCAGACCTCAGTTCATTCATCTATGCTCATTACTTGCCATAGATTGAATGACACAAATTATCTCGAATGGTCACAGTCTGTCAAACGGGCTATTGATGGAAGGGGCAAGCTAGGGTACATAACTGGTGAAATAAAGGAGAAACAAACTGGCGATGATGGCTATAGTGTCTGGAGGTCAGAAAATTCCTTGGTGACAGCATGGCTTCTAAGTTCAATGGATGCATCAATTGCCAAACCTCACATGTTCATGAAAACTGCAAAGGAGGTATGAAATTCCATTAAGGAAACTTACTCAGATCTTGAGAACTCTTCTCAGATTTTTGAATTAAAAACCAAGTTGTGGCAGTCCAAACAAGGAAATAGAGATGTCATCTCTTACTATAATGAGATGGTATCCCTATGGCAAGAGTTGGATCAGTGCCATGATGATGAGAAGTGGGAGAGTGCCAAGGATCTAGCAAGACACCAAAAAAAGGAGGAAAATGATAGGGTCTACATGTTCCTAGCCGGAATTAATAGAGATCTAGATGAAGTTACGGGGAGGATACTTGGAAAAAAACCTCTACCCTCTATCAGGGAGGTATTTTCTGAAATCAGGATGGAGGATAGCAAGAAGAAGGTTATGTACAACATTCCAGTAATCTGGGGACTCTTCAGCAATGGTGGCTAGGAGTGATGACAAGAAAAAACCCTGGTGTGATCATTGCAAGAAATTATGGCACATTAGGGAGACTTGTTGGAAAATTCATGGCAAACCACCCGGAGCAGAAAAGAAAAAAACTGAGAAGGCCCTACAAACAACTGTGACTGAGACTCAACAAGAACCACAAGTCAAGTTCAATCAGCTTTCATTCACTCAGGAGCAGATAGGGCAACTTCTTAACTTCTTTAATTCCCAGAAAACCCAAAATTCCCAAAAAGAATCCAAACCGGAATCTTCCTCTTGTTCTTATGCCCAAAATGGTACCTATTCATCATTTTTTTGTTCCGGGAAATCTAAAAATTCCTGGGTTATTGACTCAGGGGCTACTGATCACATGACTTCTATTTCAAATCTTTTTTCTTCATATAAACCTAGTGCAGGGGATAAAAAGGTTAAGGTTGCAGATGGTTCTCTATCAGCCATTGCAGGGATGGGAAATATTAGTATTTCCTCATCACTGAATCTATCCAAAGTCCTTCATGTCCCTAATCTATCCTGCAATCTTACTTCAGTTAGTCAAATAGCTAAAGATCTACAATGTTGTGTCATTTTTTATCCTTCTTATTGCATTTTTCAGGACCTGGCATCGAGGAAGATGATTGGCAGTGCTAAGGAGGAGGGTGGACTCTATATCTTTTATGGAGAAACTCAATCTAATAAAAGAGGTCCAAGAAATGCTTGTTTGCAAACTGTTTCTTTTTCAAATAATAAAGATTTGTATTTACTTCATTATAGACTAGGACACCCTAGTTTCTATTATTTAAAAAAGATGTTTCCTCAATTATTTCTGAATAAAGATGCTTCTTTGTTTAATTGTGATATGTGTGCACTTGCAAAACATCACAGAAACACTTATTTACCCCACAGTTATAAACCTACTAGAATACCAACTTTAAAGGGAAAAAGATGGTTTGTAACTATTATTGATGATCATAGTCGTGTCACATGGGTATTTTTAATCAAACAAAAAACTGAAGTTGAGAAAATATTTAGAACATTTTATGCTATGGTCCAAACTCAATTCAATACCAAAATTAAAATGGTAAGAAGTGATAATGGCTGTGAATATTTTTCTCAAACTTTAAACAACTTTTTTACTGAAAAAGGCATTATTCATCAAAGCTCTTGTGTCAATACACCAGCTCAAAATGGAATTGCAGAAAGGAAAAACAGACATTTGCTTGAAGTCACTCGTGCAATCATGTTTTCAACAAACATACCAAAATATTTGTGGGGAGAAGCACTGTTACATGCTACTTATTTAGTTAATCGCATGCCATCCAAAACTTTAGGATTTAAAAGTCCTATTAGTTCACTACAGCACTTCTTTCCTACAAATAGATTGGTAAACACCCCTCCTTTAAAAAATTTTGGTTGCACAGTGTTTATAAAAAATCCAGATAGATCTGCAAGTAAGTTTGATCCTAGAGGAAAAAAATGTGTTTTTCTAGGTGTTTCTGCCACTAAAAAAGGGTATAAATGTTTTGATCCTACAATCAAAACAATGGTTGTTACTATGGATACTTTTTTTGTGGAAGAACAACCTTTATTTGATTCTCATCTTTAGGGGGAGAAATTAAGTGAAGATGTTCCAATAATGCCACATATTCATGAAAATCTTAATTTTCTTGATATTAATCTGGATGATAATTTCTTTAGAAATATCAGTACACCTGAAAATGATCAAGAAATAAAAAATAATGAAGTAAATCCAACTGAACCAATTGAAAAGGATCAACAGACAAGTTAGTTCTTTGGAAAAATTTATGAGAGAAGGGTTAAAAATCAAAGAATAGAGGAAGTCCAAGAACCTACAACTGTCCATGATTGTGCCTCAGTGTCAGGAAGTGAAAAAGGTAATACTTCTAGCAACTTTGACCTTCCAATTGCTCTTAGAAAAGAGAGAAGAACATGTGTTAAATACCCCATCTCAAACTATGTTTCTTATTCTAAATTGACCTCAGACTTCGCAGCCTTTACTTCCAATATCTCTTCTATTTCTATTCCTTCAACCATACATGATGCTCTATCTAAACCTGAGTAGAAGAAAGCTGTTTTGGAGGAGATGGAGGCTCTTGAAAAGAATCAGACATGGAAGCTTGTAGAGTTACCTAAAAATTAACCTACAGTTGGTTGCAGGTGGATTTTCACCCCCAAGTTTAAGGCAGATGGAAGTTTGGAGAGGTATAAGGCAAGACTAGTCTCCAAGGGGTACACACAGACCTATGGAATTGATTACAAAAAAACCTTTGCACCAGTTGCAAAGTTAAACACTGTAAGAATTCTTTTTTCTCTTGCTGCCAATTTAGACTGGCCATTACAACAACTGGATGTAAAGAATGCTTTTTTAAATGGGAAACTTGAAGAAGTGTACATGGAACCTCCTCCTGGGTTTGAAAATAAGTTTGGGTTAAAAGTTTGCAGATTAGAGAAGGCTTTATATGGACTTGAACAGTCTCCAAGAGTCTGGTTTGACAGATTCACAAAGTTCATAAAGAAACAAAGATTTAATCAAGCTCAAGCTGACCATACTTTATTCATGAAGTTTTCAGGTAAGGGGGAGATTGCAATCTTAATTGTCTATGTAGATGATATTATCCTCACAGGAAATTATCACACAGAGACTAAAAGATTGAAAGACAAACTTGCTCATGAATGTGAGATTAAAGACCTAGGAAATTTAAAAAAAATTCTAGGAATGGAGATAGCTAGATCAAAGAAGGGTATTGTTGTCTCACAAAGGAAATATGTTCTAGATCTTCTACAGGAAACTAGAATGAGTGCCTGCAAACCAGCAGACACTCCAATTGACCCAAGTCAGAAATTGGGAGATATCAAGGAGGGAATTCCAGTTGATATTTACCAATATCAAAGATTTGTAGGAAAATTAATATATCTGGCACACACAAGACCAGATATTGTATTTGCAGTAAGCATGGTGAGTCAGTTTATGCATCATCCTCTCCAAGAACATCTTGATGCTACTTACAGGATTCTGAGATACTTGAAGAGCTTTCCAGGGAAAGGATTGTTTTTTAAAAAGGGAAACAATAGGACAATTGAAGCTTTTACTGATGCAGATTATGTTGGCTCAATATATGATAGGAGATCTAATTCTGGATACTGCACCTATGTATGGGGAAATCTAGTAACCTGGAGAAGTAAGAAACAAAATGTGGTTGCTAGAAGTAGTGCTGAATCAGAATTCAGAGATATGGCTAATGGAATATGTGAGTTACTCTGGATCAAACGAGTAATCACAGAACTAAAGATGGAGATTGGGCTGCCTATGAAGTTATATTGTGATAATAAAGCTGCTATAAGCATTGCTCATAACCCTGTGCTACATGATAGAACTAAGCATATTGAAGTGGACAGACATTTCATTAAGGAGAAGATTGAAGCTGGAATCATTTGCACACCATTTGTATCCACTAAAGATCAAACAACTGATATCTTCACCAAAGGGTTATTTAGACCTATATTTGAGCTACTTATAAGCAAGTTGGGAATGTATGATATATATTCACCAACTTGAGGGGGAGTGTAGAAAAATGTTACATTATTAGAAAAATGTTACATTATTTTTCCTGATTAGATTGATGTACATAGTGAGTCGGATAGACTTAGTTAGTTGTAGATAAGCTCATAGTTATCTAGATCCTAATTTTTAGGATCTATACTAGCTTGTAGTTATCTGTACAAATTGTATTTATACTCTGGCCGTATGGCTCATTCAATCAAGGAAGTTTAATTCCTAAAACTTACATGATGTAATTTGAAATCCAATATAAATTATGAATTATGAAGTTATTTAAAATCCAATATAAATTATGAAGCTATTTGAAATCCAATTGTTTTCTTGATGTAAACAAACAAGTGCATGAGGCAAGTGTTTGTGGCACAGCTATCAAGCTGGGAGTTTGATGTGGCGAATGTAAAGACCCTAAACCTTTCCACCAAACATCCCATTCCTTAAAAACTTTTTATAAATTTGTTCTTTTACTTGCTCATAGCCTCATGTAGTTATCTGTTTCCCTTACCAAATTTTGTTGCAGAAAGGTGTATCTCTGTTCAACAGAAAACCTTCAAAAGGGGTTGACTTCCTAATGAATACAAAAAAGGTTGGCAATTCCCCTGAAGAAGTAGCTTCTTTCCTGAAGAACACTTCTGGACTAAATGCTACTATGATTGGTGATTATTTGGGAGAGAGGGATGAATTTCCCTTGAAGGTTATGCATGCATATGTGGATTCATTTAACTTTGAACAAATGAACTTTGGTGAAGCAATCAGATATTTCCTACGAGGTTTCAGACTTCCGGGTGAAGCTCAGAAAATTGACCGTATAATGGAAAAATTTGCTGAGCGCTACTGTAAATGTAATCCAAATTCTTTCACAAGTGCTGAAACGGCTTATGTCCTTGCTTATTCAGTGATAATGCTCAACACCGATGCCCACAATAACATGGTGAAGGATAAGGTGAGCTTCATAAAACTCTTGCTCATTTCATCTTAAGCTGCTGCTGCTGCCAATGTTTGGTGAGAAATGCCTTCTGAGTGATATTTGATTTTCTGTCTATGTAGAGTAGCAAAACGGAGTCATTCATGCCTTGTATTCATTTGCTAGATTATAAGAGCCATAATTTCCACAATCAAATTCACCTTGTTCATTGACTAGATATCAGAGCCACAATTTTGTCTGAATCAATGGTTTGATGTTCTGGTTCATAATCATAACCGTAAACTTAGTTTGTAGAGCTGATGTGGAATATAATAACCAAGAAGTATTACTCATTGCTCATCGGAACCCCATTTCCTCAATTATTGACTTGTCTATCAATTATCACACAAACTAAAACTCTTACAGGAATACCCTTTAAACTCTCCTGAATGCCCCCATCTGTCGGGTGCCCGAGCGCCCTGCCCCCATGCCATTACTTATATAGAAAATAAGTGACCTATACCTAGTAAGATTAGGAAACCTAAACCTTAAACCTTATGGGGATAAGAAACCATAATACCACATTACCACTTCAAATAAGTGACCTATACGGCTATACCTAGTAAGATTAGGAAACCTAAACCTTAAACCTTATGTATGACCAGTCCTTGACTTAAAGGACAAAATATCCTCCTTTTCAGCCTTTTAAATTATGTATTTTCTTTTTCCTGAATTTCATTATTGTATTACACTTGAAAACTCGATATGTGTTTGTGTAGGATAATGCTGGGCTTGTTTCTGACTTCTTGCCTCTACTGGTTTTGCCTTCTAGATGACCAAAGCTGATTTCATCAGGAATAATCGAGGAATTGACAATGGAAAAGACTTACCTGAAGATAACTTGGGTGATCTCTATGACCAAATTGTGAAAAATGAAATAAAGATGAACGCGGATTCTACTGTTCAACAAAGCAAGCAGGGGAGCAGCCTGAATAAACTTTTGGGCTTTGAAGGTATACTAAATCTAGTGTGGAAGCAGACTGAAGAAAAGCCATTGGGCACAAATGGAGATCTTATAAGGCATATTCAAGAGCAGTTCAAAGCTAAATCTGCTAAATCAGAGTAAGTTTTGACAGTTTTTTCCCTAAAGAAAGTATTTTACTTTAGGTCATTTTCACTTTTGATCCTTGACTTTCAATTTTTCCAATTTGGGTGCACAGTTATGGATTTATTGCCATGCCTGGTCAATTATCTGGTAAAAAGTCATCTGGAAATTGTGCGGAAATTAGTTAGATAAGTATTTAGAAGACCAAATTTGACAAAAAATCATAGCCGTGCATCATTAGCTAAAAAATGAAAGTTGGGGACTAAAATTAAATTTGACCTAATGGTCGTGGGACCAAAAGTGGAATTTGTTCATTCTAAAATGACCATCATGCATACTAAAACTTTTGAATGGCAATTGCTAAGTGAAATTATTTTCTCATTCTTCCATTTATGATTTATTCTCCAGTATTGAGCTCTGCTTCTTTCCTTTCTTTCTCCTTTACTTGATTTTATTATTCTGAATATTCTCCTCAAATGATTCTTCGATTCAGGTGTGTTTTTTATACTGTTTCCAATCCAGCAATACTGAAGTTTATGGTTGAAGTTTGCTGGGGTCCAATGCTTGCTGCATTTAGTGTAACACTAGACCAGAGTGATGACAAGACTGCAACCTCTCTGTGCTTGAAAGGCTTCCGATATGCAGTGCACGTTACATCAATCATGGGTATGCAGACACAGAGGGATGCTTTTGTCACCACCGTTGCTAAATTTACTAATCTTCATTGTGCTGCAGATATGAAACAAAAGAATGTTGACACTGTGAAAGTAATTTTCTGTTTCCTTTTTATTACTATTTTGGAGTACATATGGATTGATCATTTCGCATTAAAATTTTTGCAAATTAATTCTTACCATGTGTGTTCTAAATTTTCCAATCCTTATTTTTTCAAATGGCTGCTTCTGAAATTCACAGAAACATTTTCTCTCTTTACTTTGAAAAGTTTAGTTGAATTCAGATAAAAATGGAAACCTTTCCACTAAATGACAAGGTTTCTCAATTCCTCTTGGTTGGAGATTATTTAATTATTACGAGTTCATTTGAACAGAGCTTTGCCTTTAGTACAGAGCAATTTAGACTGCTTTTATGATAGGTAACGGAAAAATCCAAGTAGATAATAATAGGATATTAATTAATTTAAGTGATGGAATACAGAAAGTAATGAAAGAAAAGGTTTTGAGACTCTTCGAGTGGTCTCTCACTCCCAGTTCCGATCCCAGATCCCAAGTTCTGCCTCCGTTATTCTTTCCCCTACCCCCCTTTTATAATAAAACTCACTAAAAGGGCCAGCCCTCACTTAAGCTATTGGGCCTAGAACCCTATTATTGAAAAACATTAAAATACTTAATAAGACTCTAATTATTTGTAGTGCCTGGGTCCCTATCATTTTAGTATATAAGCATGTAATGTTGAACTAAATCTCTCATGCACAAGTAACATACCCTATGTTCTTCTTGATCAAGCAATTCAAAGTTATTATGCAGCTCTAACAAGTTCTTTGCTTTCTAGGCAATAATATCCATTGCCATTGAAGATGGAAATTCCCTTCAAGAAGCTTGGGAGCATATTTTAACATGTCTATCCAGATTTGAGCATTTGCAACTGTTGGGGGAGGGTGCGCCATCTGATGCATCCTTTCTTACCTCCACAACTGCTGAAACTGAAGAGAAAGCTTTGAAGTTGGTGGGCTTTCCTTCTTTAAAGAGAAAAGGAACTCTACAGAATCCAGCTGTTGCTGCTGTTGTCCGGGGAGGCTCATATGATAGTACTACAAGTGGAGTTAAATCTGTAGTCTTGGTTTCTCCAGAGCAAATGAACAACTTCATTTCAAACTTGAATCTACTTGATCAGATTGGGAGTTTTGAACTTAACCACATCTTTGCTCACAGCCAAAGATTAAACAGCGAAGCAATAGTGTCTTTTGTTAGAGCTCTTTGCAAAGTTTCTATGTCAGAGTTACAATCTCCAACAGACCCTCGTGTATTTAGTCTTACAAAGATTGTTGAAGTTGCGTAAGACTCTTCCCTTAAATAATTCAAATATTGCCTCTTCGGCTCTTAGCCTTCTTTCGTGATTCTCTGAAATCTGATGGGATGGATAATTTGTAACTACTTCTATCTCTTTTTCTTTTCTTTGTTTGTGCGCAGGCACTACAATATGAACCGTATTAGATTAGTATGGTCTTGCATATGGAGTGTCCTTTCCGACTTTTTCGTTTCTGTTGGACTATCAGAAAATCTTTCTGTTGCAATATTTGTCATGGATTCACTGCGCCAACTTGCTATGAAATTCCTTGAACGAGAAGAGCTGGCAAACTACAATTTTCAAAATGAATTTTTGAGACCATTTGTGACTGTTATGCAAAAAAGCAGTTCGTCTGAAATCAGGGAATTAATTGTTCGGTGCATATCTCAAATGGTCCTTAGTCGTGTCAACAATGTAAAATCTGGATGGAAGAGTGTTTTTATGGTAACATATGACTTCTAAAACTCCTTTTTAATAAGATTTTGATATTTATATGTGCTGCTTGCATCTGTTACCCTGGAAAACCTTGGTTTCATCAACTTTAATGCTCAAAAAGTAAAGAAGATTCATCTAACATTCTTCTTAAAAAAATCTTTGAGAATGTTTCATTTCTTGTATAATGTCCTGTGGTTATTGGTGACACATGGCTGTGTTAGTTTTTTCTTTTGAATTGTTTCTTCACCATTTTAAAATAATTATAACTCCAGTTTACTGGGCGAGCCCTTAGATGCATTCTGATTGTTTTGTTTGTGCAGTTCGCTATTTTATATGAGCTTCTTTCTATTTGATACTATTCATGGAGACTAATTTGTGAATATGTTGTGCCATGATAGACCTATTTTTCCTGTCACTTCGAAACTCGAGATACCCATTCTTGTTTTTTGTTGTTTGATTTCTTCAAAACATGAGTTCATGCTATGACTTGGGGAAATGTCTTCACTCTGGCAAATTACTTTTTCAGGTTTTTGCTGCTGCTGCGGCTGATGAAAGGAAGAACATAGTCTTACTGGCTTTTGAAACCATGGAAAAGATTGTACGAGAATATTTTCCATACATAACTGAAACAGAAACTGTAACTTTCACTGATTGTGTTAGATGCCTCATTGCATTCACAAATAGTAGATTTAACAGTGATGTTAGCCTCAATGCAATTGCATTTCTCCGTTTCTGTGCTGTCAAACTTGCAGACGGAGGACTTGTTTCTAATGAGAAAAGTGAAGAAAAGGATAAGTCTATCCAGGCAGCAAATGACAATACTTCAGATGTAAAATGCTTCACAAATGAAGATGATCACATGTCTTTCTGGCACCCTCTGCTCACAGGTAGCTTATTCTTGCGGGGACCGTAACCTTCAGCTAGTGAACAGATTCTCAAGTACCTTATGATGTCCTCGTTTATTTTCCGCATTGACTTTGCACCTCAAGTTTTGGGCGATGTTGGACTTGATCCCCATTTTCAAAATCATTAATGTGTGCACTCCATCAGCCCAAAAAATTGTGAAGAAGGGGTGCAAAGTCAAATGATTTTATAGTGAATTGGGGTAAACGTTAATTATTTTGAAAATAGGGTACAAAGTCAAATATCATCCCGAAAATGGGGTGCAAAGTCAAATTCTCCCTTTTTATTGTTACGCATCATTGTGTGTCAGTGATGTCAATAGTGGTGCTATAGCGGAGTAGCGGAGCGGAGCGGGAGCTGGGCGCTATGAGACTGCCTATGGCGGAGCGGTTGGCAATAGCGGCTGTAGGAGGCGATCTAGCGCCGCTATCATTTACGGGGCTACTTCAGTGCTAGTTTTGAGGGAATTTGGGAGTACTTTTTACTTTTAGATGTTTTTGGAGTCACAAATAACCTCAGTACACCTTCCAAAACACATGCGGGACAAAATAACCCTACTAAAACCAACTAAAATAACTCAAAACAGAAACCAAGATCAAATTTAACCTTACACCATATATCTCCATGTTAAGGTAGTTTAAAGGGATCCCAACAACCATGATTTTCTTAGAATGAGGTATTAATAACTGCAAATTTATGAAAAATTATCTGGAACTTAATTTGTAATTTTAATGTTTAGAGGGAAGGTACTTAAATTATTCGATTCGTTTATTTAAGACACTAATACCTCTTTTTTTGTAATTTAGTAAGTATAAATTTCATGACGTTGGAGTAATATATTTGTGATTTATTATTTCTTGGAATTGATATGTGCATGACATGTGATTGTATGCATACATATAATATGTATTTTGCATATATATTGCCTAAACAGCGGTCATCCCGCTATCCGCTATACCGGTATGGCGGTATAGTGTTTTCAGGGTTGGCCGCTCCGCTCTAGTATCTGGGATGGACAACACTGGTGTGTGTACATAGATACAAATCTATGACCTGCTCTTGGATGATTTTGTCTTTACGAGTGAATTGAGTAAACCTCACAATGAAGTTTTCTGAGGTCACTACTATTTATGCTTTCAGGATTATCAGGCCTGACTTCAGATCCTCGGTCAGCTATCAGGAAGAGTGCGCTTGAGGTTCTCTTTAATATTTTAAAAGACCATGGCCATCTCTTCTCTCACTCTTTTTGGGTTAAAGTTTTCAATTCTGTCATCTTCCCGATATTCAGTTCTGCACGTGATAACACTGAAGCAGACTTAAAAGATCATCAGTTTTCCCCAAGATTTAGATCTTCACAACTTGATGGACAGCTGTGGGACTCTGACACTTCTGCTGTGGCAGCTCGATGCCTAGCTGATCTATTCATTAGTTTCTTTGATTTGAGTAGGTCTCAGATGCCTGGCATAGTGTCAATACTAGTGGGTTTCATAAGAAGCCCTGGTCAGGGTCCTTCAAGCACTGGTGTATCTTCACTAATGCATTTGGCTGGTGAATTGAGAGACAGACTTTCAGAAGAGGAGTGGCAAGAGATCTTTCTTGCTTTGCAAGATGCTGCTGCTTCTAGTGTGCCCAATTTCTTAAAGCTTCTACAAACCATGGACAGCTTTGATATGCCTGATGGTAGTGTGTCCAATAATTATGTGGAAACATCATATGAAGTAGGGTCGATGAATGACGCTGAGGGTGACAACCTGCAAATGGTTGGGTATGTTGTTTCACGAATCAAGGGTCATATAGGAACACAACTACTCATCGTACAGGTATGTTATGTACTATTTTCTCTCTTTATGAATATAAATAGGATTAAAGTCCTCGTGTTGCATCCTCCTCCCTAAAAAAAAATGAATAGGACTAAACCTAACATATTTAGGATAATTGATCTTGACTGAAAATAAGACTCATTCCCTCTTAAAAGAAGAATTAGTAACTATTTTTATTCTTCTTCCCGACTGTGTCTTGTTTTTAGTACAAAACAAGAATACTCATGTTCGTGACTGTTTGCCGTAATTGCATTTTACTATATGCATCTGAGCAAATGCTTTGTAACATTCTGTATCTGGGTCCACTGTTTATTTGAACATATTGTGGCCTCTCACATCAAACTTCTCAGTCTTCCCTTTTTATTTTGTTGATTTCAGTTGTGTAATCTGATGATGTGACTAATCATGCTTCCTTTTGTTAGGAAACTCTTAGGCATCTTTTTATATATAAATAAAGTATGTGAGTGGAATGTGCTGAGAATATACTGTTCTGTAATTTTTGTCAATTTGCAGGTAGCTACTGATCTTTGTAAGTTGCATCGGCAGTCACTAAGCGCCAAGTCCGTAACGGTCCTTCTTGGGATCTATTCATCTATTACTTCTCATGCTCACCAGTTAAATTCTGATGGCGTCCTAAAAGTGAAGCTGAAGAGAGCCTGCTCAATACTAGAGATCACAGAACCACCACTATTGCACTTCGAAAATGAATCCTACCAGAATTACATCAACTTTTTGCATGATTTGCTTGTCAGTGATCCAACATTGGGAAAAGAGAAGGATCTAGAACCTGAACTTGTGTCTATATGCGAGAAAGTCCTGCATGTATACTTGGGTTGTGCCGGTGTACACCAGCAACAACCAGTCGTCAACAAGCAGCAGCAGCAGCTGAAGCTGCACTGGATTCTTCCCCTAGGCTCAGCCAGGAAGGAAGAACTAGCTGCCAGGACTCCCTTAGTTCTTTCTGTATTACATATATTGAGTGCTTTTGAAGGTGAGAGTTTTAAGAAGTATGCATCACAGCTGTTTCCGTTACTGGTAGATCTTGTCCGGAGTGAGCATAGTTCTGGAGAAGTTCAGCAACTTCTAAGTGGCGTCTTCCGTTCATGCATAGGCCCATTAATAGTGAAGATGTGAAAGTTTCATTTTTGTAAATTATTATCACCTAGGCTGAGGGTGAGGAACATCTTTATATAGACTACTGAAGTTTTGTTTATTGTTGTTAGGCCCCATAATCTTGCTATCCATTTACCAAACAGAAGATGACAATCACTTCTCAGAATAAAAATTAGTTAAATACCTCTTTAAATAAAAATGTTCTGCGTCTTTTATTTCACGTTTTCATGCACTCGCACCGTGGAATGGTTTTAAGTTTTAAGTGAACAGTTCTCCTTTGTTTGAGGAAGCTCGTCTTTCTTTTTTATTTTGAAGAAAATCAGTTCAATTGACATTCATTGAATCAAAGTTCAGTACATCAACAATACCATTAGGAGGAAAAGACAGGCAAATTTGGGAAATACAGAATGTGAGATTTTTAAAACTCGATTATTTGAACCAATATCTGTAATATCTCTTGATTTGTACAATAGCTCAAACTTTAATCATATATAAGTTAAAATTGAACATGGAAGTTAGTTAAATAAATTATTGAGAAATGTTACACTTTTTTCTATTGAATTTTAAGATGAAATTTGAGAACATAATCTACACTTCCTTAAAAAATATGTCCAAAAAATTTCATAAAAAAAAATCTATCAAAAGATCTCTAATGGACGTAGCCGCACGACATTGTCAGGTGGACATGACATGATCATTGTCCTATATTATTATATAGGAAGTACGAGTATATAGTTATAGAGGGCAGTTTGTATCAAGTCGAGCTGACGGCGGTTCCACGTCAGGCCGAGGCCATCTGAGGACGTTCACAGTGGAATTTAATGATTAAATATTTTGAACATGTTTCTCATCAAGTCTAGATTGTTTTAGGATTAAAAAACTTGCGCTAGAGTATATTTGTGTTTCAACGGTAAAATAATTCGTAGTACCGTTCAGCGGAAAAAGTAACAATATGATTACTTTTCTGGCTGATAAGGAAAATCAACCCAAACAGTCAAATTCACCTCTGTTTGGCTGTATTTTTATATTTTAAAACTTATCAGCCCATTTTAATGGCTCCAAACAGCCCCATAGTATTAATGATATTTTGGCTTCTAAAATCAAATAGCAACAAGCAAGTTGTTATTTATAAAGTACATTGGAGTCATTGGCGAAACGAAAAATTTAAAGAGCCCGTTACACGCAAATGCAGATTCACACCACAAAAATATAAGGAGTAAGATGAAAAAAGGAAATACGTTCCATGAGATCTCGATCAAAATTGAGAACCCATTACCCATCAAAAGCAACTACATTAATTTTTCTAAATTAAATGGATGAAATTTAATCTTATAGATTCATTGCCTAATGAAATGTATAATATTAAAAGTAAAAACTCATATTACCGTTTTTTCGATCAGTTTAGAATTGGTACAAAAAAATCAATACAATTATGGTTCGGTCTCTCCGATTTGGTACTATGCCTTTTGATTTTTGGATTTTCTTACCCACTCTTAAGTTTTACAACATGTACAATGACTAAAAATATATTATTTCCGTTCTATTGGACTTTATCAAATTCAAATTAGGTAAGAAATTCAAAAATAAAAATTATTTGATCGGTGTTTTTGTAGAGAATAGAAAAAATAAGCAAAACTACAAATTAATTATTTTAGTCAAAAGTGGCAACAATTTTGGGACAGTAACAAATGAAAAGTCAAGTTCAAGTGATTAAGTTGTGATTTTGCTCATTTTTCTTTCATCTGCACAAACATTTGTCAAACAATTTTTATATTTCTCACCTAATTTAAAGTAAGGCTAGGTTCGAAATATCGAAAACGAAATCTAAATAAGTCGAACTGCAACCAAATTAAACCAAACCGCAAGAAAATCGTAACCGAATGCAAAAATGTAACCCGAATCGAGCGAAATTAAGCGAAATAATAGAATATAAAAGTTTGTTTGCCAACTGCATGTTATAAAACATTAATCCTAGATCATTGTTAGTCTTTGATTTCCTAGAGTTAGGAAATCAATTGTTTTGTCTTATACTACAAATTCCTTATTAGATGATAAATTATTATATTGTTATTTAGTTTGGTTTACCAAATTTGTTTACTCTTTCATTAATTAAAAATATACTATTTCTGTCGCTTAAAACTTTGCCAATTTGACCGGCAAGAAGAATAATAAATTAAAAATTGTGCGATTGAAGTTTGTGCAGACGCGAAAAAACAATAGGAACCATAAATTAATTGCTTAAAAGGAAAAGTAACAAAGTTTTTGGGACAACAACAAAAGAAAGATGAGAAAGATATAAGAGACCGAGAGAATATGTATTTTATAGTTTGTTGCATGACGGTGATGCATTTTTGCTGTTTTTTTGCAGCATGTATTTATTGATTTTATATAATCTAAAATTTTAAACTCACAAACTAAATTAATATTCATCTCAATTGTAGCTCAATGAATGTCTATAGTTATGATCTTTTTTCAAAATAATCACCAAAGATGAATTAAGATGCACAACATTTAAAATAAAACTTTTTTATTTTTTGGTCTCTCAATTAGTCACCATATTGAAATTTCAGACTTGTATGTCTGAGATTGTAAATGTCACTCCGGAATTGGCATATGTATTGTAAATATCATCTTTAGTGAAATTATTGGTAGTCTAGATTGGAGATGAATAATAAACGGTGAGAATGACATTTACAACACATCTGTCAATACGAGAGTGAAATTTAGTATTTACTCATAAACACGAGTTGACGTTTATTAGTGTAAATAACATGATAATATTTTTTAGAACACCGAATCTGAAAAATCGAAAATGAACATAACCAATCAAACTATGGTTTCAAGTTTTGAAATGCAAGACGAATAGAACTTTGATTTAGTTCCGTATTTGGTTTTAGGTCATAACCAAATAATAACAAATCGTAAGAAAATCGTAACCGAATGCAAAAATGTAACCCGATTTGAGCCAAATTAAGCGAAATAATAGAATATAAAAGTTTGTTTGCCAACTGCATATTATAAAACATTAATCCTAAAATCATTGTTAGTCTTTGATTTTCTAGAGTTAGAAAATCAATTGTTTTGTCTTGTATTACAAATTCCTTATTAGATGATAAAATATTATTTTCTTATTTAGTTTGATTTACCAAATTTATTTACTCTTTCATTAATTAAAAATATACTCTTTGTGTCATTTAAAACTTTACCAATTTGACCGGCAATGAGAATAATAAAGTAAAAACTGTGCAATTGAAGTTTGTGCAGACGCGGAAAAAATAATAGGAACCACAAATTAATTGCTTAAAAACAAAAGTTACAAAGTTTTTGGGACAACAACAAAAGAAAGATGAGAATGATATAATATACGGAGAGAATATGTATTTTATAGTTTGTTCCATGACGGTGATGCATTTTTGCTGCTTTTTTTTTGCAGCATGTATTTATTGTTTTTATATAATCTAAAAATTTAAACTCACAAATTAAATTAATATTCATCTCAATTGTAGTTCAAAGAATGTCTATATTTATGATCTTTTTTTCAAAATAATCACAAAAGATGAATTAAGATACACAACTTTTAAAATAAAACTTCTTAATTTTTTGGTCCATGAATTAGTCGAAATTTGAGACTGTGTTTGAGATTGTAAATGTCACTCCGGAATTGGCAGATGTGTTTTAAATATCATCTTTAGTGAATTTATTGGTCGTCTAGAATTGAAGATGAATAATAAACGGTGAGAATGACATTTACAACACATGTGTCAATCCGAGAGTGAAATTTAGTATTTACTCAAAAACATGGGTTTGACGTTTTAATATAGTGACTAATTGAGGTACCCCCAACTATTTTCGGGTTTGACATTTAATATAGTGACTAAAATAACGTGATAATATTTTTTAAAATACACATTCTGAAAAATCGAAAATGTACATAACCAATCAAACCATGGTTTCAAGTTTTGAAATGCAAGACGAATAGAACTTTAATTTAGTTTCGTATTTGGTTTTAGGTCATAACCAAAGCCAAACAATGGAATCCAGATCTAATTTAAAATTGACATAGTCCAATGAAATAGAAGTAATGTGTTTTTTAGTCATTGTACATATGTTAAAACTTAGAGTTGATGTCTCAAATAGGACTTCTAGCAAAGTTAATTGCACATATAGGACTCCCTACGGAAGTGGAGTTTCGTAGGACTTAATTCAACACAGTTGGACAAAAATAACCCTACTTTATTCTTTTAAAATTTAAAAAAGCAAAATAGAAAAGCTGTTGAAATCGTAAATTTTCAACAGCCGACAGTAGCACTGCCCGCCGTCGAAGTCGGAGCCGCCCCTGCTGCCCTCACTGGCACTGACTACCGCCGCCCTCGCCGGCTCCGCTCCGCCTATCGCCACCCTCGCCGGCGCTATTGCATCTTTGCCGGTGCATCGTCGCCATCCATCACCGCCCAACCAGCGTCACCATCCACCTCTGTCGATGCCATCCTACCATCGTAGTTGCCCGCCCCCTGTGTTAAATCCGGGGCCACCACTTCACCTCCGAGCACCGCCGCTGCCGTCACATCCCACCGCCAAAAATATGCCATTAAATTGGAAGATTACCTTCGAATCTGTCTTTTAAATAAATTTTCAGATCTGCCATAATGATAGCAGATTTATATTGACCGATTTACACAAAACTGTCATAATATTGGCAAAATATGAAGTCCACAACTAAATTTTTGAAAAACCAAAAATTTAAGAGAACAATAACTTTAACAAATTCATCTCAATAACCAATAAGAAGTGAATGAAAAAAAATAAAAAAATAAAAACTGTTTTTCACAAAAAATGTTTTGCATTATGATTGTCAGATTACATTTCTGCCATAAACTTAGCAAAATTGTACGTCATCATCCAAAATCTGCCATATACATGGCAAAATCATATGCTATCTTCCAAAAATCTCGAAACTGGAATATTTCAAAAAATCAATAAACCAGGAAACAGAGATTTGAAATAGAAGTCAAAAAATCAATAAATCAGTATTTTCTAAAAATGACAGTAATTAGTCCTATTTTGGGAATTTAAAACATGACAATCCTATTTTGGAATTTTGAAACTGTTTTAGTCCTATTTCGTGAACTTTCCCTAAACTTAAGGGTGGACAAAAAATTGAAAAAGACATGACACCGAATCAAACAGATTGGTACGTATGGTACCGAATCGATTTTTTTGTACCAATCCCGAA